TGGGCTCTAGTATAGCAGGGATTGTGGGGCTGGCGCGGGATCGGGCAGTGTTTCGTTCTGCTGTGCATGGGGTCGCTATGAGTCGGAAACGACTCGACGTCACTTAACAACAACAACAACATGTCTCTGAACCACTTAGGTATGGGAAAGGGAAACTGCTTGACATCTAAGTCTGCGTGGCCATATCATAAAGGAGGAGTTATGTAATATAAGCAATGGTTGGTCCCTACAGATCTATTAACACTGTAAATGAAGTAACAGAGCATGTTAGGTAAATGAAATTTCTGAAAGAAATGTCGGTCAAGAAAACAACATATTTTGATTTAATGAATTTTAATTGTTTATATTTGTGGAAAATGAAAAAGTTATCTTTATTCTGTTTTAATAGGTCCATGAAGAATTTATAAATAACATGGCTAACACCACAGTTGAAAGTTTGATACAAAAATTTGTTGAGTCAAAAGGAACTGGGAAGGAAAGACCTGGTAAGATGATAAACTCTGCAAGAAAAAATTTTAAATTTCCTGTCCAGTAATAATTATGTAACAATTGTTACATTACCAGTAACAATTGTGTTACTGGACACACAAGTTCTCATGTTTAGTAGGTAATTTTTAGTATCACAGGTCTCAGCTGAGTAATATTTCCAAAACTGTAACATGAGCCTTGTCATCCCTAAACATCTCTGTAAATTTTCAGATAGCATTTTCTTCTCTAATGTTACATTAAATTACGATTTTACCTTCAGTAGTTCATAATTTAATGTTACTTAAAACGTTTATTATAACCTTTTATTAAATTATTCTGTTATGGTTTAATTAGATTTTTGGAAGTAGAATTACCAACAGAAGCCCATTTTAATAAGAAAGATTGTTGTTGTTGTTGCTGTTATTTGCCCTCGAGTTGGCCCTGACTCATAGTGACCCCTCCTTGGGTTTCTGAAGCAGTATCACTACGGAAGGAGATTGCCCAACTTTCCTTCTGAGGAGTGGCTGGTGGGTTTGAACCGCCAGCCTTCTGGTTAGCAGTCAGGTGCCTTAGGCACTGTGCTACCAGAACCCTAAGAGCATTGAGGTCAACATAGAACCTTTCTTAGAATTTAATAACTTATTTCTTGTCTAATTTACATTTGTATTCAACACGTGGATTTATCGAGAGCTAACAATATACCAGACACTGTTAGAGACGGTGGGGATATACCAGTGAACCAATGAATATAGGAATCCTACTTCCTATTTTATGAACAAATGATGACAGGAATGCTGAATCCTACTTTTAGTAGCATGTTAAGATACATCAAATGTAGTGATTTCCCTCCCCTGCTCAGCATACTTATAGTTGTCCACATTTCTTGAATCTATTCATTGTTGTTGTTGTTGTTGTTATATGCCATCGAGTCGGCCCCGACTCATAGCGACCCCTCCTTGGGTTTCCGAGGCAGTATCACTACGGAAGTAGGATTGCCCAACCTTTCTTCCGAGGAGTGGCTGGTGGGATTCATTAGTTACTACTATATCATGTACTTGTAAGATAATTATCTCACTCTACAGGTAAAAAATATATTCAGCCCAGTAAAGAGAGTAAAATATGGTGTAAAATTCAGGAAAATGATAGGTAATGTGTGACATTTGGAGGCATTTTTCTTTATTGCCATTCAGACTGAGGCTTGAAGCCAAAATCGTCTTTAATTCCTTCTTCCCTATTGTTGTAAGGTGCCGACAAGTCGTCTCTGACTCATGGCAACTCTAAGTATAACAGAACGAAACACTGCCCCTCCCTGTGCCAGCCTCAGGATCCTTGCTATACTTGAGCCCATCATTGCAGCCACTGTGTTAATCCATCTTTTGAGAGACTTCTCCTTTTTCATTGACCCTCCACTTTTCCAAGCATGATAACCTTCTCCAGGAAATGGTTCCTTCTGACAACATGACCAAAGTAGGTGAGATGAAGTCTGGCTATTCTTTCCAAGGAGCATTCTGGCTGCACTTCTTCTGGGACAGATTTGTTAGTTCTTTTAGCAGTCCATGGTACTTTCAGTATTCTTTGCCAATGGCACAACTTGAAAGCATCAACACTTCTTCAGTCTTCCTTTATTCACTGTCCAGCTCTCACGTGCATAAGAGGTGATTGAAAATACCATGGGTTGGGTTAGACACATCTTAGTCTTCAAGGAGACATCTTTGCTCTTCAGCACTTGAAAGAGGTCTTTGGCAACAGATCTGCTAGTACAATTCATCTTTCAATGTCTTGACTGCTGCTTCCATTGGTGTTGATTGTAGAACCAAATAATGTGATGTCTTTGACAAATTCAATCTTTTCTCCATTTATCGTGATGCTGCCTATAGGTCCAGTTGTGAGGATTTTTATTTTCTTTATACTGAGATATAATCCATACTGCAGACTGTAGTCTTCAGTCTTTATCAGTCAGTGCTTCAAGTCATCCTCACTTTCAGCAAGCAAGGTTATGTTATCTATGTATCGCAGGTTGTTAATGAGCCTTCCTCTAATCCACATGCCACATTCTTCTTCATGTAGTCTAGCTTCTTGGATTATTTGCTCAGTATACAGATTGAATAAGTATGGTGAAAGGATTCAACCCGGATGCACTCCCTTCCTGATTTTAAGCCATGCAGTATCCCCTTGTTCTGTTCAAACAACAGCCTCCTGGTCTATGTACAGGTTCTTCATGAGTATAATGAAATGTTTTGGAATTCCCATTCTTCTCTATGTTATCCACAATTTGTCATGATCCACACAATTGAATGCTTTTGCATAGTCAATAAAACACAAGTAAACATCATTTTGGTATTCTTTGCTTTGAGCCAAGATCCATCAGACATCAGCAGTGATAACCCTTGTTTCACGTCCTCTTCTGAATCTAGCTTGCATTTCTGGAACTTCTCTGTCAGTAAACTGCTGCAACTCTTTTTGAATTACCTTCAGTAAGATTTTACTTGTGTGTGATATTAATGATATTGTTTGGTAATTTTGACATTCTGTGGGATCACCTTTCTTTGGAATGGGTACAAATATGGATCTCTTCCAGTCAGTTGGCCAGGTAGCTGTCTTCCAAATTTCTTGGCATAGCTGAGTGACTGCCTGCACTGGGGCATCCATTTGTCTCAACATTTCAGTGGGTATTCTGTCAATTCCTGGAGCCTTGTTCTTTGCCAGTTCCTTCAGTGTAGCTTTGACTTCTTCCTTCAGTACCAATGGTTCTTGATCACATACCACCTTCTGAAATCAATGAACATCGATCAGTTCTTTTTTGGTACAGTGACTCTGTGTAGTCTTTTCATCTTCTTTTGATGTTTCCTGCATCATTCAATGTAGGGCCTATAGAACCTTTCAATATTGCACCTCGAGGCTTAAAGTTTTTCTTCAGTTCTTTTAGCTTGAGAAATGCTGAGTGTGTTCTTCCCTTTTGGATGTCTAACTCCAGGTTTTTGCCCATTTCAGTATAATAATTGACTTTTTCTTCTTGAGCTGCCCTTTGAAATCTTCTGTTCAGCTCTTTTATCTTGTCATTTCTTCCATTTGCTTTAACTACTCTCCATTCAAGGGCAAGTTTCAGAGTCTCTTGAGACATCTATTTTGGTCTTTTCTTCCTTTCCTGTCTTTTCAATGACCCTTTGCTTTCTTCATGGATGATATTCTTGATGTCATCCCACAGGTCCTGTGATTTTTGGTCATCAGTGTTCAATGCATCAAATCTGTTCTTTAGGTTGGTCTCTAAATTCAGGAAGGATATAATCAAGGTCATATTTTGGCTCTCATGGGGTTCCTTCTTCCAGTGTTATTCTCTTTTATTCTGGAAGCTCCACTGAAACCTGCCCACCACAGGTAACCCTGCTGGGATTTTTTTTTCCCTGTATGGTACATAAATATTTTGTTACACAGGGTACAAAAATACTTTCACTTTTTGGTTGGATTGTAATCTTGGAAAGAATAAGGACCAGTGATGGGGAGAAGTGTGCTGTGGTGAGGTAAAGAACACAGGCAGAGGACTTTCTGACAGTTGTTGGCCCATGTGAGGAGAAAGAAGCAGAGGACCCTGACTTGAAAAAGAAAACACTGTCTGTTGGGTTTCTGTTGTAGCTGTTAAGCATGCAAGTGTGTGTGGGTGGGGCCAGCAGGGCAGAACCGGCTGCACAGCTGGGTCCTCGCTGGAGCAGACAGACATAGGGGTAAGGGGTGTGGGGAGCAGACCAGGAATGGTGAGCCATTAGTGGCTAGGACCTGTTGCTATGGTGATACCAATGTGAGAACAAACTGTATATTTACACATACACAAGTTTAAGTGTCTTAATTCATGCCAGAAAACATGCAAAATTAAATGCCTCATTTTCTTAAAGTGAAACTACCAGAGTAAGTTTGGACAGAAGGTTGAGACTTGCTTAGTCCTAGTGAGGCCAGCGAAGGGAGTCTGCGTATTCCAGCAAGGCGGTCCCTGGATCCGTACATGAGGCCTTGGAGAAAGACTTGGGGTAAGGGCAGGACTGAGGAAGAGAAGAAACAGGAAACAGTCCACTGAGTCAGGCTTAAAATTCATACTCTTTGGAGGAAGCAGCAGCTCTCCACAGGCTGCCTGGGGTAATGGAAGCTCCGGGTGTCACTGTACAGATCCCCAGAACTGACTCCTAGGGGATCCCCCTCAGTGGGCAGGGGCTGCAAGCCACATTGACAAGACAGAAGAACTAACAGAACTGACGATACTTCCATCCTTGCTGGGTGGTGTCAGAAGAAGGGTACCAGCGCACCTGAGCATGTAAGCCAGCAGCAGTAATGGCAGCTAGGTGATCACAGCATGGGAGATGGCTGGGGTCAGCTCTGTGGTATAGAGAGGGTAGGGCACCCAGGCCTTTGGGGATGCAGGGATCAGAGCAGCCCCCATAAGGTGATAGGGGTCCTGTGCAATGAAGTGTGCTTCAAGGGCAGGGTGAGCATTGGTGGGATTTGGTGTTGCCATTAGCTTGTTCTTGGCTGTCTTGGTGTGGCAAACTCTAGCCTCAGGGTCTGTGGGTTCTCGGGATCAAAACGAATACCATTCAGTGCATTCTTGGCTGCTTCTGCTCCTGCCCGGGTGTTAAAGATAACAAAACCAACAGGCTTTCTTTATGTGAGCTTGATCAGGGATTCTTCATACCCCTTGAATGGCTGGAAGAGCAGGTAAAGCTGTCTGGGTTTAATGTCCACAGGAAGGCCACTGACAAACAATGTCCAGACCTCCTTCTCTAGGGTGCCTTGTGCTGTCAGAGCCTGTGCCTGAGCTGGTGCTGTGCGTGCTGTCCAGCTTCAGGTTGCTCATGGTGCATGGAGGATGGGTCGGGGGGGATGGAAACGCAAATATGGCAAGAGCAGCAGCCCTGGTGGGGAGGTGGGAAGGGGCATGGTGGGTGGTGTGCTCAGGGAGTGTGGGGCAGTCAGAGTGGTGGTGGTGGGAGGTGAGAGGGGCGGCAGCTGCGTTGCGCTGGGGTCACATCAA